CATAGCCATTTGTATCCTCACAACTTGTGCACAGACCAATAAATGTATTCATCTTGGATAAAGTATGACGATTCTAACGTACGGAGCGACGCGCTCGTACGAGGACTTTTGAGGCGGGAGGGGGGAATTGGACACACTCTGCGTCGAGTCGCGACGTTATTCAAGACACTGTTGCAAAACACGTACGCGAGGGTGTTGAACTGCGCGAGACTGGTCGGGTTTTGGAGCAGCTCGGTGGTGGGTTTGAGACTGGAAAAGCGCAGCGGAATGAGGATGTGATTGCGCTGAAAGGATTTGGTTACGATTGCAACCAAAACTCTGTGTTCAGGATAACCTCGGCAAAGTAGCTGGTCGACTAGTACTTGGGATTATTGTGAGACGTAGAATTGGATTGAGGATGACCAAGACGTACCAGGGACAGTGCTGAATCACATCCAGTCGGTTCTGCAGGCTCCGTCGGCACGCAATCGTCAAAGTAACCCGCAGCGCGCTATTAGCAGTCAGTACTGTTATTTGAAAAAGGGAGGAAAAACCAACCGATTTCATCGACACAAGAGAATTAGATACGCGGAGTATGTTGTAGCGAGTACCTCAAAGGAAGAAGGTCGTTATGGAAAACGCGGTCCCTGTGAGAAGGCGGAGACGACTAACTTGAGTAAATTGCAAGGCTAACGTGAAGCGGGTCGACGTACTCTGGGCAGAGGGCGTCGTGTCGAGGAGACGTCGATTGGAGACCTGGGGGCGCCGTGGAAAACACTTGTCGTTGAGATGGGTGATGGTGCCTGTACAACGATGGACACGTAGACACCGCGTCTCCATTTCGTCCTTGAGGTCGTGTAGCGTCGCCTGCACTTCCTTGACGGTGTTGCTGTCCGTGTCGGAGTCTGGCGAGTCTGGTCGCGTCATCTACTACCGGCTGTTAGACGAGGAGACGACGGTACAGGGTTCACTGCATACCTATGAACGGTGCGATCAATGAGATCTCGATGAGACGAGGGGGTCCGGGCGAACGTCGCTCGTCGCGAAGGGCTCCTTGACAGCCTCGAGCATGTCCCCACCCGTCGCCGCCGCCGTAATCAATGTCGCTTCTTCAACGTTATGCTCAGTCGCCTCCGGAGCATTGAGCGGATGATTCCACTCGTTTACTCATTGTATAACAGGATTCACGGGATTTGAGGGTGACAAAGGGTATACGGAGATCGTTGGAGAGCGAAAGACGCGACCAAGCGCGATGCTGGGTATCGGGAGTGCAGAGCGTCTGCTTCTTCTGTCCGTCACAGTCTGGTCACACTCCGTTTTCAGCTTGTATGTGCATCTCATCCACGCAAGAATGGTTCTACGGCGTGGTGTTGGTGCAGGTAGTGAATTCTCCATCGAACAACGCCGTAAATTGTCCTCCTCCATGTATATCTCCAATCCATCTCCGTATATGACGACGTATATGAATGTAGGTGGTTTCGACGCGTTAAATGGGGAGGACGCGTAGATTAGGGAGGGGAGGAGGTGGATGAGCCGCAACATGCAAGCTGTGGGTTGATGGTGGAAGAGCAGCATGCATCTGGGCATGCTGCAAGGACAATATCCCGAAGGATACTGCTCCGTTGGGACGGAGAGTGTTGGCACTGGGAACGGCATCCATAAGGATCCCGCAAACGCCAACAGGCGCGATGGACACGATCAACGATGGTACGCGTAAACGCGTCGCTGGCATCGGCCAAGTTCAAGATGGAAATCTGGCCATCTGAAAAAAAAAAGTGAGCCGGAGAATATAAATAAGCAGAGGATGAGTACATACGGGAGGGAAGAACATGTATCTCCTTCCCAGAGATGTAGGAAGAGCATCGGGGACGCAAGAAGATGTGCCATTCATGAGCGGGTCCACCAAAAGCGGAGAGCGCAGTACAAGAGCAAGTGAACGCTTGCAAAGCGAATGGCGCACAATGGCGTCTGAGCTGCAATGCACAGCCGAGCAAGAATTAAGGTCCACGGGACAAACAACGTCAGGATCTGGTGTGTTTTAGCGAGGATGCGAACAAAAATAGAACGACTGCTTACACAGGGCTGTCGACGTCGATGGCAGTGGTCTGCGAAAGTCGCGTAACACCGTTTCCTTCTTCAACCAAGTATCCTTCGGTGCCGCACTTGTCTTCATCCTCCTCCTCGTCTTTCGAAGTCACCAGTGCAAGCTTGGCTAATTCTAGGGCGGGAGTTACGGATGCATCCTGGTCGTATTGGAGATCACAAAAGAGGTTTGCAAGCAAAGAAATGACTGGAGGAATGTGAGATCAGCTATTCATTCAACAAGAAGCGCGACATACATCTTTTGGACCGAGTTATCTCTCTGCGCCTCACCAGGCGACCGCCAACGCGATGCCGCTTCAAATCATTGTCAGTGAGTTTGTCGTCCTCGATCAACTTGACTGTGAGCCCATTCATCGACACGACGGCTTCACAAAGGTTTTCAATGGTGTAGAATTACTACGACGCATATCAGTTCTGCTCGGAAAGTCGGTGAATCAACAAACCTGTAATGATAGCAGGTGTTTCCAAGCTGATTGAGACCGCGAGGTATATCTGAGTGGGTCGGTGGAATGATCACGCCAGCTTCGGCCGATTAGCATCCTTGGAGGGAAATGGCGCGACGAGGAACTCCTTCATCATGGTCAAGCCGATCTCGGGCGTCGTCAGCTCGTTCCCGGCACCCTTGACCATCCCGTCCGAGATAATGACGACGAGCTTGTGCGAATTGGAATATTCCGTCGTCGCCAACGAGTCCAGCGTCGTCTGAAGTCCCTCGACTGACTCGAAGTAGGCCGTGACGAGACATATGATATGTGCCAGCGGGAAGTTGAACGGTTCGTAGTTGGGCGGGGGTTGCGGAACGACATTGCCTAACAGGAACGGACACGGGTTGTCGGCGAACGAACCCCGCGGGAGGGCCGCAGGGGATTCCGAAGTCCCACCCACCACCTTTGCCACTCCCGTCTGCAAACGAAAAACAAGGAAACCACTTTTGACAGTGGTATCGCGGGAAAGAAAGAGAAACCACTTTTGAGGGTGGTTTCAGAAATGGAAAGGGAAGAAAAGCCACTTGTAACAGTGGTTTGTGGATGGAATGAAGGAGCGTGCGGCAGTGTCGACTATAAAAAATGCAGAATTAGCAAAAGGAATCGCACAAGAGTGAAGACCCACCGCCGTCAGAAAACAGCTCATCACCATCTTCGTCGTCGTCGTCGATAGTGTATACCTCCATGCTCTCGGAGGGGAATGTTTGGGCGAGAGGTTCGAAGGGAGATGTCTGAATGGAACTAGAAGCTGGGAGGATGTCGTCGTCGAGGTTGGCCGGCGCCGCTTGTTGTCACGACTCGTCGTCGTCGTCAGAATCGACGGTGAAGATTTCTGGTTCCTCTGGTTCCATCCAGCTCATCGTTGAGGGTGCTGAATCGGTTGCTGGAACGTGTGTCGTCGGAGGAGTAGCCATCGGGATGGCTCTAACTAGGCGTTGTTTCGATGCTTGGTCTGAAAACGCGAGTCAGCGACGACGTTGAAGGGACAACGACGAGAGACGACGAACCATTTTGCTAACACTCACACCAGTTAGCATAAACACGCAATCCACGTCGAGTCCCGGGCAGCAGCCTCACGTAGCCAGCATGTAACGATTGCTTGTTACTAGTCAGCCTCGCTCGGCCATCCGGTTTAGCTCTCATGTGCGATTAACTCGACACTAGCCAGCACCGTCGGATGAGCAGTCGGGGAGTACAACGGAATGAAGTTGGAAGGACAGCTGGGTTGGGTTGTGGATGAAACACTGCTCCGTGTCGTCGGTCGGCTGCAATCAACGAAAGCGACAGACTGAGACTCACCAATGCATTGAGCTAGCAAAGTCCTTGGCAGTCGTAACGGCGGCGTCGGCAACAGGAGATCCTTCAGGCGAGAGCTGAAGTCCTCTTTCAACATGTCCTTCGAGAACTCCGGACGCTTCTTCGCACAGAACGTGTTCTTTTCGCCACAGGACGTGTTCTTGCCTGTTGCGGAACATCAGGAAACGAATCTCGATGGATGCAAGGGCGACTGACCTTTTGGACAACGGCGGCCGTCTCTTTCAAAGACAAAATCGTCGAAGGAACGCTTCGGCGATCCTGGTTTTGCGTCGCAGTCCGTCCTGCATACAAAGTTTTTTTTGCAAGCCCGCTGGCCGTCAACTTCCGGCCGTTCCCAGTTTTCACGTCCGCTTAAGAGCGCAGGCCAGCTAACTGACACCGCTTTCGTTTGGCGTAACGTCCCTTGAGACGGTCGGGAATGGGCATCGGAAGCTGCGCAGGCAGAGATAGACCGCTGACGTCCTTGACAGACAACGGCGAGTTTGACCGTTGTCCCACGTGGCAGCAGGGAGTGCGTCTCGGACACGATTCGGTCGTTGACGCGAGGAAGACGAGCGCGGCTTGGGCGCGAGAACGGCTATATGTAGGGCCCGAGTCCGTTTTCTTGGTGAGCGAGGCCAGTGAAAGGCGACAGAATGAAGTTGGAGGGACAGCTGGGTTGGGTTGTGGATGGCCGACGATGGTAAACAGTGCTCCGTGTCTGTTTGCGAGTGGCGTTCACTGTTTGCAAGACGGCCTGTGAAACAAGACATCGTAAAGGACAGAGACAACGCACCTGACTGGGTACTGAGACGCCGAGTCCATCTCCTCAGCTGCCCGACGAGCATTCCGAGTAGCTGTTGTTGAATTCGTTCGTTGCTTGATACATTGAAGGTCGGGCCATCGAGAGATCTGCCAGAGCACGCTTGCTTCGTCGGAGAACAACGTTGGCGGTCAGCGAAAGTGAGATAAGTTCTCATGCTCTGCCGAGGTTGATGCATTGATGACCGGCAGCTACATCAAAATTCCAATCACTTGCATCACAACCTTGCATCCTCTGTATCTCGACAACGGATGGTCCGTTTGAGATGATTCCGGTACCATTTTGAAGCTGGAATCCTCCTCTTTTTAACCATGGGCATGATGGCCGAGTGGTTTAAGGCGTGAGCCTTGAATTTTCGTCAATAGCTCATGGGCTATGCCCGCGTAGGTTCGAACCCTGCTCATGTCGCTTTTGTTTTGCTCCCCGCGGTCATAATTTATTCATATGTGCAGTCTCTATGCGACTAAACTCCTCCCAACCCAAACTGGTAATTTTTGATCGCAAGCAACTACGAAATAGCTTCGAGGTTGACTGTAGTCCATGAGAATCCAAGGCTGCGCAAAAGATTATGCATAGCCTGCGAACGCGTCTCGTAAATCAGTTTGCCGCCAGACTGTACGCGGTCACACACAGGACATTAGATCTCGCAGCCTAGGGCGAGGAAAATACCCCAGTTGTCGAAAAACACTACGAGAAAGGTAGAGAGACAACCGTTGATGAGGTTGGTCAAGGATCTTTGTAGCATCTTCCGGAGATCACGGCATAACGATCGCACAGTTCAGAGATATTGTGCACTTTGAGTCTGTGGGCTCGTTACTTCCGGTGTAAGTCGACGTTCGGGGCCAGTTGCCTCGAGATCGCGTTGAATTTACGAGCGGGTGGTTTTAAACTAGAAACAATGACGCTCGACTTTGTAGTTCTTGGCTCTGCGACAACGTCTAACAATTGGCACGGCCGTCGGCACTTTCGGAGTGTTGGTCTGTCGCATAGCTGGACTCGAAGAGAGAGTTTCAATTCGTTAATAGACCAGGATCCGCCAATACGCGGCATGCGAGGTTTAGTTGGCGACGATGTTGAACGGCAGAGTACATTCCTACGAGACATATTCCCACTGTCCTGGAGCAGGTTTCTCTGCAAGGGGTTCCCATCTTGAGCACAAGTAAGCAGGTCTTCTGCCAGAGACGAGGTTGCGACGCACGCTTTCCAGTCCACCATTTGTGCGGCAAGCTTGAGCTCGTCCACGGCAATAAGCAGCGACTCCTCTATGATTCCCTCTCCAAGGCCCTTCTCTACGGCGGCAACATCTGTGTGTGCGGCCTTTACGATGTTGAGTTTGTTTTGGATAAGCGCCTCGGTGGCCTGGCGGTAGACAGATGTCTCTGGGATCTGTGCGAGATGGGCAAGGGTGTTCTCGTATGTGGTTGCGAGTGCAGGGAGTGGGTCTGGATGGACCGCAAGACCCGTAAGCCCAGTTGACGACCGAATGGCCTGGTAGAGTGGACGGGTCAAGCGTAACATGGTCGGAGACGCGTTTTGCGTGACAGCTCTGGGCAACTTGAAAACCACCACTTGGCCGATCCGCGATGTCGGTAGCACCACTTCAACCTCTATTCACCGCTCGGTGGCGAACACTGGCTTTCGCGGCCGTTCCTGCACTCCTCGCTTCAGTCCGGCAGTGGACAATACCCTCACTACTTCAACTGTTTCCGCCCATCGTGCTCGCGGTACCCAAGAAGAAGGTTTCGCATTCACGAAAGGCCATGCGGGAGGCAAATAAGGGGCTAAAAGACAAGCAAAGTACGCGACATTCTCCCCGCTCTGCACGCACATGAATTTTCTATTGGCAGATATTGTGAATTGTCCTGGTTGTGGCGCACCGAAGCTTGCCCACCATTTGTGTCCCAACTGCTATACGTTTTCTGAGCAGAATGTGGAAAGGCATTGGGAAAAATATTCCATAGCGGCTTGTTTTAATCCATTTCGCAACGAGCTTTATTCCCCTGCACCACGTGAACGCGGGTTAACCGCAGACCGGTGCCATGCGCTTGCCTCTCACGACATTTATGCGCTCTGCTAGTACTGCTGCCCCTCGCGGCCTCGCCGCAATCCTGCAAAAGAACCCAGACGATGTAGTCCTTACCTTTGCCAAACGCTCCGCCATCGGCCGCGCGAAAAAGGGCCAATTCAAGAACACAACTGTGGACGAGCTTCTCCATGCCTTGTTCAAGGTCCAAGTCGCGCTATACTCGTCGTGCATGGTGCTCAACTACTCCAGACAACACTAGAAAAGTCCAAGCTTGACCCGTCCAAGATTGACGACATTTGCGTCGGTTTGTTACTTGCACTCTGTCCTTTGGTCTGCGTGTGAACACCCATCCAGGGACTTGTCATCCGCCGTCGCCTCTGTACGTTTCAAGAGCAGCGGCGCTAGCGGCCGGTATTCCGAACCATGTTCCGATCTCCACTGTGAACCGCCTATGCTCCTCCGGTCTCATGGCCATTCGCAGCATCGCCCACGCGATTCAGGCAGGCGAGACCTCCATTGGGCTCGCGGTTGGCGTCGAGAGTATGACGATGCAGTTGGTGGCACTTTTCTCTGCTATCTTATCTCCAACTATTTGCAGCGCCCGTCCGACACCACAGATTTGCGAAGCGGTCGACCAGAACACCGAAGCACACGACTGCATCCAGGTAGATCAGCCCCACGAATGTAAATTGTTTCTTACTGGTCTCGCAGCCCATGGGGTGGACATCTGAAATGGTCGCGCAGACTTACAAAGTTTCGCGTGAAACGCAGGATAAATACGCGCTCATCTCCCACACGCGTGCCAATGAGGTTATGCTTTTTTATAGTAGGAAAGCCGCACTTCTTATTTGCAAACAGGCATTGGCCAAAGGAATCTTCGCTGAAGAAATCCTCCCGTTGGAGCTCAAGGGACAGATTGTCTCTGTCGACGATACGATTCGTCCTGGGGTGACGGCCGAATCGCTTGCGGGGCTGAAGCCGGTGTTTCCAGAGTGGGGGCACGCGTATACCACGGCTGGAAACGCAAGCGGCGTCGGAGACGGCGCAGCTATCTGTATTTTGACGACGAGAGCGCGTGCTGAGCAAGAGGGGATGGACATCGTTGCAAAATGGGTAGGGAGCTCAGTCGTCAGCGTTGAGCCAAGGTATATGGGCATCTCACCCATCTACGCCATCCCCAAAGTCTTGGAGCAGGTTGGACTGAAAAAGGAGGACATTGACGTGTACGAGGTTGGTCACGCGCAGTCATCTGGCATCGCGAGCTGATAGGGAACAGATTAACGAGGCTTTTGCGTCGCAGTTTGCGTATTGCGTCGAACAACTTGGCGTTCCAATCGAGAAGATTAACCCCAAGTGAGTCGTGTGCGTACGGAAACACTGGGGGATTCATAAATGCTCACAGCGGCGGGGCCATCGCCATTTCGCATCCGCTCGGAATGAGTAAGTTTTATTTTTCTCTCGTGCTCGACATTGACTCTTGGGTAGCTGGCGTTCGGCAAGTGGTTACTGGGCTCGCCGAGTTGAGGCGGAGAAATGGGTCGGTGCTTTGCACTTCGATGTGCGTCGGGTCAGGTATGGGGGCAGCAGGTATATTTGTGAACGAGGCGCGCAGCGGGAGCAAGTTGTAATTACTACAGCTACATAAAACCTGCAATTGGAGTCAGCAAGTGTGTTCATGGCAGAGAACTGAGAGAAGAATTCTCAGCAAGTCGTTTATGTCAATGGTACACGACCTAGCGGTCGCGGCCCAGTTCGACTAAGAGGTGCCAATGGTTGCAGATGCAAACTCGTCATAGAAAGGAAAGGGAAAGAAAACGCAAAGGAAAGCAACTCACATGGAAGTGCAAAAGAGAGAGAAGATGTCACACCGGTGACCGTGTAGTGTCCGTGACTAGTCAGTTCCAAATCAATTCCTTTCTCGCGGCACCGACAAGGTATAAAATCTTCGTTCTCCATTGACCGCTCTCTAACACTCTCAAGACCCCCCGAAATGGCCACCCAGATCAGCAAAAAGCGCAAGTTTGTCGCCGACGGTGTTTTCCGCGCCGAACTCAATGAATTCTTCACTCGCGAACTCGCCGAGGAAGGCTACTCTGGCTGCGATGTTCGTGTCACCCACGCTCGCACCGAGGTGATTCCTCTGTTTGCTGCCCATTTCTCCCTCTCAGGCGTCCTCAGATCATCATCCGTGCTACGCACACCCAAGAAGTCCTTGGTGAAAAGGGCCGCCGTATTCGCGAGCTCACCGCCCTCGTCACCAAGCGTTTCAAGTTCCCCGAAAACTCTCTCGAGCTTTACGCGGAGAAGGTTCAATACCGTGGTCTCTCTGCTATCGCTCAGTGCGAGAGCTTGAGATACAAGCTGCTCGGCGGTCTTGCGGTCCGTCGGTCAGTGGATTTTTCGTTTCGTCTAGTCTTTTCATCTAATGTACCTCTCAGTGCGTGCTACGGTGTCCTCCGTTTCGTCATGGAGTCTGGCGCCAAGGGCTGCGAAGTCGTCGTTTCTGGCAAGCTTCGTGCCGCCCGTGCAAAATCGATGAAGTTCACCGACGGCTTCATGATTCACTCTGGTCAGCCCGCCGTTGACTTTGTCGACTTTGCTGTCCGCCACGTCCTGCTGCGCCAGGGTGTACTTGGTATCAAAGTCAAAATGTGGGTCATTTCGATTTTGTTTCGGTTCCGCATGCAACACGCCGACTGACTCTTGACATTAGCATGAAGGGCACCGACCCTGAGGGCCAGATGGGTCCGCGCAAGCCGCTGCCCGACTCGGTCACCATCCTTGAGCCTCCCGTCGACAAGCAGGTCACAGAACCCTCCTCGGAGCAACGCGAGCCAGTCGCCGTTGCACCGGTTGTGGAGGATGCATATGCTGCTCCTGCCCAAGAGTACCAGGCACAGGAGGCATACGTCGACCAGCCCGTATTCTGATAGGATAGCCTTCATGTTTTATGCATCTATTCCAAAATCGTTTTGCGGCGCGTAGCTGGATTAGAATTCGTGTATGCATAAGTATAAAACGTCCAATCTAGTTGCTACATCGTATTAACGCAGTCTAAGATACTCATGGCGCTCATTTAGACGCCTTGACATGCAGTTTGGCCAGGGAAATTACAACGGGTACGGCGTAAAACGCGTACGCAACCCACACCACTAAGAAGTATTAGGTGTGGCTCGTCTCATCGGCAAGTAGAAAAGACAAACTGGTGAAAGCGTTGCCGAGGTTGGCAATCAACTGTGGGCCATTAGTGCCTTGGAGAGCGATGCTCTGGTTGAAATCGCTAGCAGCTTTGCCGAACCACAGGCGCAGAAAGAGAATAGAGGTGATTCCTGCAAACTCATAAGAACAAGTTGAAGTAGAGGCGAGCAAAAAACTGACCCAA